TAAGTTTATCACGCAGAGAAACTCCGAGCATAGCCCTCTCCATAGCTAGATGAGCGACCTTGAGCATCCTCATACGGCCAGCAGTGAAGGACCACGTCTCAGTTCCGTAAGTCATCACACGCACTGATTGTACAATTTCGTTTTAAGGTTTTGAGGTATGTCTGACGAGAAGATGTGTCGTAGTTTCCCGAACGCTGCCCAGCCGAGTTGAATCCGTCGATTGACCTCTCGGTCGAAGTTGGACTTACCTAGTCGGACTATTTGTCCCAGGTAAACATACTCGTCAACAACTTCGAGCTTAGTGCTCCCAATAACTACCGGCATAGGTGTGACATGGACATTAAACATGATCTTTGTTTTGTCCATGTTCATCTTAAGACCTATCCGTTGGGAAACACTATTGAGGTCATTGAGCATAGTGCTTAGGGCCTCCAGCGATTCTGCCATAAGGACTATATCGTCGGCAAATCGAAGGTGAGTGATGTACTCGCCATTGATGTTAATACCGTATCCTTTCCAGTCCAGTAGCTTGAAAACGTCTTCCAACGCAGCGGTGAAGAGTTTCGGGGATATAACATCACGCTGTCTTACACCTCTCTGCAATTGGATAGGTTTCGTACTCTGGTTCTGTACTCGGATAGCCATCGTAGCTCTACTGTACAAACATTTCAACACTTCGATATACCGACAGTCAACTTGGCACCACTGAAGGGACTGCAGCACCGCCCAAATTTCGACGGAATCAAAGGCTTTCTCATAGTCCACATACGCCAGAAATAGTGGCAAATTGTACTCTTCGGACTTCTGTACAATTTGCCGAAGGGTATGTATGTGGTCTATGGTGCTAAAGCCCTTTCGGAAACCGGCTTGTTCGGGAGGCTGCAAGTCGTCAAGTCTGCGTGCGAGACGATTCGTAATGACTCTCGAAAACAGCACGTAGACGCGGCTCAGAAGGGAAATCGGTCTGTAGTTCTTCAAGAGAGCATTGTCACCTTTCTTGAAGAACAAGACCACCGCACTTCTGCTCCACGCCTCCGGTGTAATGCCACCATGGAGGACGGAATTAAAGAGCTTCTGAAGGCCTTCAAGTACCAGTTTTCCACCCGCTTTCAGAAGCTCCGCTATAATTCCATCCTCGCCTGGGGCCTTGCCGTTTTTAAGGTGCTGGAGAGCCATTCTAATCTCGCTCAGACTGACGTCCGGGATATCTTCGGAATAATTTTGGATAAGACTCGCTCTTGGATCGTTACTCACACTTGCGTGTGGCTCCAACGATGACGTGTACAGCTGCCCATAGAACCTCTCAATCTCACTCAAAATCTCAGGTGCCCCGGAAACGATGCTGCCACACTCGGTCTTCAGCCTTGACAGTTGGCTCTTTCTGCCAGACAGATCTCTGGCAAGGACTTTGGAGTCTTGGTTCCGCTCGATCGCTTCTTCAATACGAGCTGTATTGAAGTTGCGTAAGTCCCGCCGCATGCATTTGGAGATCTGTCTGTTCAGTTGCCTGTATGCTGTCAAATCTGTTGAAGAATGTCTTCATCTCCCGTCTAACAGCCATGAGATTGAGAGTGTGAGAGTTTTTGTGTTCTTCTGCGGCGGGTCTTACAGAACTTAGTTCCGACCGCATGGACAGTTTCCACGAGCTTGTCATTCACATCGTCCACTTCATTGCAGTCTTGGTTTTGTAACTCGAGCTGAAAAGTTTCGGGACTTTGGAACAGAGCACGAAGGGGACGGAGCGTTGACTTCATTAGACGAGACCTCTCCAACTTAACGTTTAGGTTCAGCGTGCCTCTAACCATTCGGTGATCGCTACCAGTTTTCACCCTCGCGATCACGGAGACATCACTGAACAGTTGTCGTCTGGTCGTCATAATGAAGTCAATCTCATATTTTGTGGAACCGTCGGGGCTCGACCAGGTCCACTTCCTGTGGGGCCGCTTCTGGAAGAAAGAGTTCATCATAAAGAGTCCCTCTTTCTCCATGGAGTAGGCCAGCTGCTGGGACCCTTGGGTTCCGTTGCCCTATTCCAAATTTCCCTACTTTCAGCTCACCGTTCTCTCTTGTGCCTAGTTTTGCATTGAAGTCTCACATTAACACCGTGGACGATAAATCCGACACCTCCTTGGGACAGATGGTCGCCCTCCCGGTGATAGAGCAAGTTGCCGGATTCGAGGATTACAGTGTACTCCCCCTCTCTTCGGACTTCGGATAATCCTATAATATGCCAACGTAACTTGTCTATCTCTTCTTGGAGCTCCACGATCTTCTCGTCAGTCCTCAGAGTGCGTGCGTTGTATGTTGCCAGGTCGAATCGTCTTAGGTGGCAACCGAACCTCAACCGGAGATTCTTAGCACCCCCTGCCCCGTCGTTACCATGGTCGCCACCGTAGCCAGGAAAAGCGGGGCCGCCGGGGACTGGAGGCCGTTTCTTTGTTACTCTCAACATAGGGGGGTATTTGCCATAGTTGCCACGCTTGGCGAGCGGGTTGGCAACCGCAGTTTTTTATTGTAAGTTTGTTGTTATCAGGAAGATGCTGCTGCCCATCTCCTGCCTGTTTCCCTTTGTCGCCTTTTACGACACCCACGGGAATATATGGGGTAGTGGATATTCTTAACCGCCACTACACGACAAATAATGAAAATATACACGGTACTTATAACAAAAACAATTTTTAAAATTTTTGTTTGTCTGTCTGTCTGTTTGTTCCAGCTAATCTCCGAAACGGCTGGACCAATTTTGATGGGACTTTCACTGGCAGATAGCTAATATTATAAGAAGTAACTTAGGCTACTTTTATTTTAGAAAAGGAATTAGGGCTCCGCGCAAAAAAATGAAAACCCATAAAATCCAATCGTAATAAATTCCACGCGGGCGAAGTCGCGGGGAACAGATAGTCCTCAAATAAAATAGAAGTGTTATACCATACCCATGACTACTGTAATCATTGTGATGATGATGATGATAAGGACCCCTGTAAATAAGGTGATCACTTACACTCCGTTTCTGATGTTTCATATTTTATTAAATTATAAAAATTGCTAGGTGTTTGTCACGGAGCAAATACAAAGAGGAGGTGTTGTCATTAGATTTCTCTATGTAACAACACGTGACAATTTGCGGGGTGTGGGGATGTTAAGCCCCGCCACTTTTACTATTTTCCATCAGCCGATAAATAGTAAAACTATTTGCATCGTTCCATATCGATGTTGCAATGTAGTTTAGCTACTTTGAAGATAGATGGCGGCCTGTTCACAAAATGATTATAAAACTGTAAAAATAATATTTTGGCGATTAAAAATTATTTAGAACTGAATGCAAAACAAATTTCAACACCTTAGTATGATTATTTTACCAATACTGAACTCTACGTAATTTTATATTTTTAGTTGCCATGACACAAAGTGTCGCCATCTAGAATATATTTAATTTTATTTGAAAGCCGACGCAGAGATTTTTCTAGAACCTTTTTAATAAACTACGTATAAAATTAGTTACAAATGAAATGTGATGCCATCCATATACATCCATAGCATGCCATCCATAGCATCAGAGTGTCTGTCTGACTAGTTTTTACGCGATAAAACACAACACTTCGTCCTTTTCTTTTGAATACTACGAAAATACACCGATTTGCGATTTTCAACACATAAGCGCACAGAACAAACTCTGACAGTATACAAAGTAAAGCCACACCCACTCTGATGACATCAGGACCTAGTTAGAATCACAGTGCACAGTTGCTTATGCCATCTCCTCTTTGTATTTGCTCCATGGTGTATGTTCTCCCCAGGATACAGGTGTAACCCCAACAAGTAGTGAAACCATAAATTACTTTCAATAAGTAGTAATAAAAAGTATTACTTATAATTTAAATTAATAAAGAATTATTTTATTCTTTCCTTTCCATTCTAAAAACTTGATTGTAACTGCTACTGCATCCCATGGACACTTATAAATAAGTTCTCATACTTAAAGATATATACTCTCATACTTGATATAATAGGCTACAAATAAATTGTCACCACTGAGGACTAAAATACTAGCTCTTTTTATGTATAAAACCGTATATATATCTGTACATATAAGTGTTTTATATGTGGTAGAGCCATGCTGCAGCTATATTAGTAGTATAGTTGTAGCACAAATGGGTCGACTAGAACGGGGAAGCACCACATTCTCACAGAATACCAGCGTAAAATAGCAGCTTAATGCTGCTTGCTGTGTTTTGTATGGTGAGTGTAGAGAACCGAAGACCTTTTTACTGGAAAAGAGGCTTTCCATATTAGTCCTTACGGGTGACAACGCATCTGCATTTTGGTTCTTTATTGAGGATAGACGTAGATGTCTATGGGTCACAGCAACCACTAACCATCAGGTGGACTGTGTGCTCGTTTGTCACCCTATCTTGAAAAAAAACATAGCCAAGCACATGCTGTTACTTGGCAGCAGAAATAAGTAAGGGGATGGTACTTACACAGACAGACAGACTCGTAGGCAGAAAAGTCTTACCACTTAGCTGACCCATGTACATCTGCAACTAACTTCGAATATTTATAGAAGAGTACAGATGTGTTGTCACCACTAAGGACTGAGCTGAAATACTTTACAGCCTGCAATTATACTGGCTCTCTACACCTATTAAACCAGAAAATAGCAGTGCATGCACTGGAGCTTGGCTACTATAAACTTGATTGTGTATTATACCATTCAATACATGAAGATATGCCAAAGAGTACCCTTAACCAACAAGTATGTATGCATAGATATATACTATGGTAAAGGAGGCAAGAGGTCTCTGCCTTGCCCTCTGGATGACAGGTGTAAATATTTATATAAGCATGTATGTATCATACAATACATAATCAAGTTAACCCACCTTTTATTTCTAGATTCCAGTATAATGAGTTTTGACAAAACAAAAGGTGTACATTGAGTAAGCACTATTTAATAAAAATTAATAAAATACCACATAAGTTCTTGCATTTTACAGAATTTAAAGTGGCAACTGCACCAAGTTATCAAATTTTATTGCAAGTATGTCAGAATTCCTAAGTAGAGCTGATGCCATTTTAATATTTGCTGGAGTCTTAAGATCATGAATTAATATATCTGTACCATCTGGTTTCCAGCCAGAGAATGTCCCAGCTAGAGTTGATTGTTCAAATGTCAAGACAGTACATGTTTCACCTAAAAAGAAAAATAATTTCTTATATTATTTTATGATGTCAGAAACACAAACAAGCAACTGCCCACCTGAAGGTATGTGAAATCCATAAGCATGTGCAATAACTCTATATATTACTCAAAATATATTACTTTTGATATGAGCAATTATAGATGAAGACATATCCTTCATCAAAGTTTAGAATATTCAATAATTCCACACATTCCTTATTTAATAAATCTAATTACTACAATTATTAAAAATAGATTAAATCCATAAAAGTCATCATGAACATTACCATAATTACAGCTCAATACAAGTCTGCTGAACAAAGGCCTCCCCAAGCCAAAGCCAAGCTAAGCCACTTTTTAACATCAAACAGAATCAAATGGGTAAATGTTGAGGATAGCCTCAACTCAGGGAGTTAAATATATATACATATTATTAAGCTCGCTTTTCACTATGGGATATAGCATATATTATATCCCAAGTTATAAATTATATCTTATGATTGGATTTCACACTGTGGGATATATCTTTTAACCAGTGTGCGTTCATCGTTGGATTACACCTGGGGTACAGGGGGCGAAATATAATATGAAAATATTGCTTGGTCGATCGAAATAATATTTATGGTATGAGATGTAATATACATTACATCTCAGTGTAAACAGTCCCATTAAAAAATTTGGTGAGCGATATTAATTTATATGTCGAGATATAATAAGCGTCAGTAGCCTAATGGCAGGATACGGACCGCGAACTCGAAAGGTCGTGGGTTCGAATCCGCCATGCGACTACTGTTGTGAACCACTTCTAACACAAACATTTTAAGCTTACTAGAAGTGGTTAGAGGGAATATTAGTAAATTTTAATAGCATTACTAGTTTTTTTTTATATATATATTACATTATATCCCATAGTGAAAAGCGGGATTTATACTTCTAAAATTAAAAAAAAGTTTGACTGAAGCAAAACCCTTTTTTACCATTTAATACATTAACTGCTTTCAAAAATGATTCTCGAAGTTTTGCTCTCGCTTCTTGTTGTCGTGTTGTTTGTTTATCTAATTTTTCATCTTTCATATTGCAATCGCATATAATTAAAAATATGTAGCATACCAAAGTGCCTTTTGCTGAAATTTCTAAATAATGCAAACCATTGCCTCTTCCTGAAATCACCTACAATTTTATTGAAAACGTGTTTAACTTATATTCAGAACTAACCTAGCAGAATCGTTACTATTATTATATATCAATATTTTAAAATTCGTGAAACAACTTTCCTAAACTTCGATTTTTTATCTCAATCTCAAATAAGAAATTCTAATTTGACATTGACATTTCAAATGTTGCATCATGCTTCCTTAATATATTACTATACTCTTTGTGTTGCATTTTTTTTTTCCATTTCGTAAATAGTTAAGTAATGATGTGCTGCAACCGATATTCACCAAAAGACCGAAAATATTTGAAGTATATATATATTATTATAAAGTGACTAATTATGGTAAGTGTTTTTGGAGTTTATTGGAGTTTACTCCTTAAGAATCGTACGCGCACGGTATGTAAAATAGATGATTAGTAAAATAAAGCGTTAACAAAAAGGTTTTCCTCTGCTATATTCGCGCATCTCGTGGTGCTTGCACTACTTGGCGATAAGTACAGTCAATTTGGCGATTTTAAAATTTGATTTTTATTTAATCTTTGATATTTATATTTATATAAAGTAAAGTGAATAACGTAAACAAAATATTGTAATATATGGAAGAAATCAACAAATTTCATGACTTTGTAACCAATTTTGTATGATAGGTCGGCACAAGTCAGCACACAAAAAACAAGCTCCTAGATATTTTGTCATTTTTAGAGTGTAATAGTGGTAATTTTTAGTAAGTAACTTATTCCAAAATGGTTACTTGTTCTGTGAGTGACTGTAGTGTTAATAATAGAAATCCCTAACGTACGTTAGGGATTGACTCAACTATATCAAAATTAATGTCGATATTAATCTCGAATGTTTACAATGAATCTTTGACTTTCCTACAAAACAAGAAAATAAATTCTCGGTTAGCGTTCTAAATATGTAATTTTATTTTGCCGTTTGTCAAACAGATTCCCTCCGGATTCTATTATTAGAAAAAATGGTTAAGGTTAATTGGACGGGTTGGTTAGAATTCAAAGAAGAACTCAACAATTTGTAGGAAACATTTTCTTGAGAAGTATAAAAGAAAAAATAGAATAAAACAATTTTATAAAAAATGTTGAGATTATGCTATTTAAGCCATTATGAACCCAACTAAATATGTATTTATCAACCAAAAAAAATGTATAACACTAGTACAATATTCATAGCATCACGCTATTTTCCACGAGGGGTTGAGCGGAGCTTCGGATAATATGCCCAAGTCACAATGATAAAACTTTTAGCGTAGTTAGGTTAAAACTTTGAAATGTGCGAAAACTTCACAATGTCATGCATCGACACCTTAGGGGAAAATGTTTAAACAAGTTATTATAAAGGGTAATTTCTTAAAATATTAAAAGCCTTGACTCTGGCAAAAGAAAAACTGTACGAGTCCATTACCATATTAAAAAAAGTCTATTTTCTGTGACGAGAGCATAGATAAAAGATATAAGAGAAGAGACTTTTACTTCTTTTATCTGTGCTTTTACTTGGTTATAAAAATAAAAAGATACTCTATGGATATGGAGACTTTCTTGAATTTCGATTTGCTTCATTCAATTTCAGTGTGAAATTTTGTGATTTTTAATTATTGGCGGATTGGCACTTAGTGGATTAATTGCCTTAGGGCAGATTTCTTCAGGTTCTTTTTTTGCTGTAAAGAATAATTCCATATTTCTAAATTATTATTTAATATTTCTTTCGAATTTTGGAGTTCTTAAGAATGGCGGTGTTAGCGGCGGCACAATTATTAGATGAGTTAATGGGACGGCATCGGAATACAAATCCTAACGAGAAAATTAAAAAACCGAACTGGGAGGACCCTGAAGTAAGTGTTTAATAATTTATGTAATTTTTAAACATCGTTATCAAAAATAATCTACATCGTGGGCTATTAAAATATATAGAAATACTATCCACATATCGCTTTAACCCCTCTGCCACACACTCGTCGAGTGGTTTAGGAAGTAGCGAGGAAAGGAAGCAGAGACGTAGTGTGGTAACAATACTCGTCATGCCCAGCGCTCCCTGTTTTGTCGATTTTTTGGACATGACTTAAAGGACTGGTAATATGAGCGCGAGTGGCCGGCCACATAATCGCGTGAAAGCAGTCCGAAATCCGAATTGAACGCTCGTTACGGAAGCGTCGTTCTATTGCGATGAATATATGTCATCTACCATCTCTTTTGGCGAGGATGATGACGTATATTTCTAGTGTATACTCTATTTAACCTTGTGTGGAGCATCGTGATTAATTGCGCGAGTAGAGCACTGTGTGAGCAGATAGGGCAACATCGCGGCAGCATGAGGAGTATAGTGTGACAGAGCCATAAAGGTTAAAGTACCTTCATAAACGAATAAGTAATACTAACGTGGATAAAGCACTTCCTTAATTTCCTACGTAATTACTATCTTATTGTTAATTTAGGTAGGTTGTCTGTGAGCAGTTGCTTTAATTTTGGCAATATTCCTCGATAATAGAATTTATGCATTAATATTTAACAAGAATAATTGGTGAGGGGTATACCCTTATATTCAATTAAAATTTTATATACTGTTTTAAATTAAATTTTGTTGATCTGATAACTAACACACATTGTATACATTTTGATCATAAAAATTATTGAAGTGACAATACTATACAAGAATGTCTTTATTGTTTCAGTACTGTAAATATTTCATGGTAAAATTTTGTCCTCATGATCTGTTTGTGAACACTCGAGCGGATCTTGGTGTCTGTCCAAAAGTGCATGATGATGAAGTCAAGGAACTTTTTGAAAAAGCAGAGTCTTCATATAAGAAGGCACAATATGTTGAGGAATTTTTGCGCTTCTGTAGGCACATGATTAGTGAAGTTGAAAGTAAGTAGTGTATAACGTTACTACAGGATGGATGATTCTACAAAATCAGTCTCTATTCTTTATTCATTTTTTATTTCTTGTTCAGCCTCATATCATTAGCCACTCAAGCACCATGGGGCACCATGGTACCTGAAACAAAAAACAAGTTGTCCACCACCAAACAAGTTGTCGTGTGGGGTAGTACACACCACTAGGGGTACTACCCCACACGACATAGTCTAATAAAGTGCTATAAAAAATTGACTAACGCGACTTATCTGTGAAAATAGTTTCATAGAGTTCATCCCTAGGAAATTATTCAATGAAATATAATGTTAGTAGCACTACTGAAGCAATAGATCAACCAAACAAAAATGGACAAATTAGTTAACAATCTCTGATCGCGAAGTGTGTGTCGGTTTGGATAAGCACAGAATAAATAAAAGGAATAAGTTAAAACATTCTGGTATTGTTAAAAAGGTAATTTAATCTTGTGTATTTAAATATTATTATTATTAAAATGGATAAAAAGTTAAGTTTTTCATCAAATAAATATTTTTATAAAAAAAGTTTTCATCACAGTTTTTCAAGTTTAACCTTTTTTAAAGTTTCAAATTAAAATTATAGTTTTTGATTTTTGGATAGTTAGGTTCCTTAATTATTCAGCATTATAACTGTATTTGTTTATTTTGAAATAGCACTTTTAGTTTGCGAATAACAGGTGGTTTTATCGCCAAGTTCGGAAGTGGCCATTTTTGCTGGCAGTTGGCCGAAAGTTGGTGGCGCCAGTCTGGTGTTTTAGTGGTTGAGTAACGCCCATCTTTAATAAATCCCTACAGTGCCACTACATGGCCTAAAAATATTGTTTATTCGATTCAATTAACTATAATTCAATTTGTGATTACAGAAAATGTAATTATTAAAACTATGTTGTTTATGTAAATTTGATAAATTGTATTTGTAAGTTACTATAGAACAAAAGTTATCTCATAAAAGATACAGGCTTTGTAGATATATACACACTTCACATTATCTCCAATTTATAAAATCAAATGTCATATTTCTGATTCCACTGTTTTTCTTAGTAATACACTTAATGTGCTTGATGTTGAGACATATATATTTAACTACTGATGTACTTACAAACTTACTTAGCTCTGCAGTATTAGACATAAGTTTATGCCATCAAAAACATAACTTTTAAAAAAACCAAGTCTAACAAATCACTTCTTCTACTGTAAAAAGTTGTGAGATCCATGTAATACCAAGTCGGTTAATTTATTCAGTTCCTATTTAAGGGTCCTTCTGTCCAAGTTATTACGTAATTAGCTAACCTAACAACATCCTATAGTGACTATATCAGTATTAATTTTTTTTATGTTTTATTAAATTTGACAAAAAATTACTTTGCGTACATCGCTAGATAAAATAAAATGATGTGTCTTACCTAGTTTGAAGAGCACCTCCCGCCCTCCCTCAATTGCGTGCACTATCCCCGTCACCACTAATCCCAGCACCACTACACTAGGAAAGACACACCACTGACGACAATACGACACGTGTTTCGCCTCTACACGAGGCATCCTCAGGTGATATAGGCTCTATGGTGGCTAACTGCTAAGTGAGCGGTGAGCCAAAACAACTGCCTTTTATACAGACCGCTGACGCAACCGCTCCCTTTTTAAGGAGCGAGCGACTGCGTCATGCGATAAAACATGCGACGATAGCCAACGACCACTCCTTTAAAGTCTTACATACGTGTAATAAAGGGCTGCGACTGTGTGTGCTGGAACAGTTAGAGATATTAAAAAGTAATAACAGTGATGTTGCACTGCTGAATGAACAAACAAATGTTTCTAACTCACCTCTCCTAAATATCTTTAAACCTACTCTCTAATAGTAGACAGCCTCGCAATATGATCAGTTTGTTACCCTCACGGTGATCGGCGATTGATTGCGTGGTTGGAGGGTAGGCGGGCGTTGCGCGGCGGTTTGTTTTTAATTTTACATACGGCTGCGCAAGTCTAGTTTAAATCCAGCTGGCCTTGTGCTTGTGGTGGTTAGTTAAGTTTTGCATAAACATTATATCTAGAGTGTTCATGTATCATAAATTGTAATTGATTATGTAATATTCTTATCAAAAATGTTTTTAAATGTTGTTAAGGATTCTAATAAACCTATATAATATATTGGTTCCATTTCTCCCTCCATATAATACTAGTGCTGTTTTATATAATTTGTTACTTAAAATTAGAATCAACAAAACTTGGTACATATATCCAGCTAACAACAATTTTGATAGAAGTTTGCTTACATTTTCTATAAGTTCTTTTTAAATGGACTATGTATTTTTCAATTTACAGGAAAAATTCAAAAAGGTAAACAAAGATTGGAGCTCATGAACTCAAAACCGGAAGGGCCACCAATGACACAGGCTCAAACTGAAAAAAATCAAGAGCAGGTAGGTTGATAGAATTGTCTCCAATCCACTAAGATTATTTTTTGCTATATCTAAATATACTACTATATTTAAATATAATTAAATATAATCATAAAAGAGTATGGATAATTTTACATCCTGTTTTATTTAATATTAATTTTACAACCTGGAACTGAACTATTTGGAGAAAAACAGTATAACCGATCATTTTGTATATACATTTAAACTAAATTTGGGAATTATTTGGTACACTCTTTTTAAAATTAAGTAGTTCAATGAATAAGGTTTATTGTGATTATTAAAATAAATTGGTTTCATGTACCTTATTATTTTAAGAATACTTATGATTATAAGACTTCATTAATTTGAATTTGACATTAAAAACATTAATGGATGTATAAATATGGTTTCATAACTTACTTATATACTTTAACTATAGGTGAAACTTTTATCAGAGAAGATCACAGCATTGGTTCAAGAAGCAGAAGAAGCAGGTACTCGTGGAGATGTAGAACAGGCACAAGGATTAATGAAACTATGTGACCGTTTAAAAGAGGAAAAGGAGCAACTTATCAAACAACAAGAAAACAGGTTTGTTTTTATACTGTTAACATATAATTCTCTTAAATACTTTTATTTTCTTAGTGCTTAATTTTTAACCCTATTTCTAGAGAAAATTACCCTATATTACTAACTCCATCACTACCTAAACATCAGGTGTTTTCTTTTTAATGTTACCACAGTCAACAAAAATAAACTGCTATTGATCAAGAAGGATTTCACAAGACTGAATTTGATTGAATGAAAATTGGCTAAAATCCTTTCACTATTTTATATGAATTCTATTAAGTAATTAATTATATTCTGAAGTGTGTTTGTGTTTTTGATAATACTTATGTGTAATTATCCACCTATTTGTCTTGCTAAAATCAAAGTTCTAAAATATTTTACCTTCATATAATTTTTGAGATGTCTTTTACAATGTCTTCTTTGAGACACTTTCAGTGACTCGGCAGACAATAAGGATGTTAAAAGGGCACACAATTCACATCTTACATCTATCTATCATTAAGAATCAAAATGCAGTTGCATTTTATTCCCTAAAATAAAAGATGGAGTGCCTTGTTACCAATAAAAAGGGTTTCCAGTTTTTAGCACTCACCATATCAACACAGCAGCATTGAAAACATGCTGTTTTCCCCATCATCATCATAGCCTATAAAAGTTCACTGCTGAACATAGGCCTACCCCGTACATTGCCACATAGGAGATTGTGCCACAATTACCACGCTTAGCTAGCGGGTTGGCAACTGCAGTTCTTTTATTTTTTACTGTCTGTCTGTACTGTCTTACGTTGGTATTTTGTCCTTCCCTTTTTGATCTTTCTTTTGCCAAAAATGCTGTGGCTCTACAATCCAAAATCTGATTTGGTCATTCTGGTTTCTTCAGTCATCACTATGGTAACATAAAAAGGGAGTAGAGGCATCACAATAATATATATTGTTGTTTCCAGTCATTGGTCCATGACCGCAGAGCTAGCTGCAGCGCAAGAGAAACAGATGGAAGTGTGTCCTGTGTGCGGTGCTTTCTTGATTGTTGGCGACGCGCAGCAACGTATTGATGACCATCTTTCTGGAAAACAACATGTTGGGTGTGTTTAATATTTTATTCACGTTGTTTGCATATTGAAAGCTTTAACATAATATTATGTATTTAATAATGGCAACTGGATATTCAACTTTGATTTTATTTTAAATTCAAGCGCCTAGTATTTCATTAACTTGCTCCGAAATCCACAAAAAAATTTGTTATAATTGTTGTAATAGTATAAAATACAAAATTATTTCATTAAATACAGGTATTTCAAGCTCCGTCAAGCATATGAGGAGATGACCGAAGCTCGAGAAAAAGAACAACAGGAGAAAGAGAAAAAGCGGCGTGAAGAAAGAGAAAGAGAGCGTAGTGTTCGCGGTGGAGGTCTGGGTTCAGATAGACGTGACAGGGAGAGAATGGAAAGAGACAGAGAAAGGGATCGGGATCGCTCGGACAGGGACAGGGGGGAAAGGGACAGGGAACGTGGGGATCGTGACAAAGATAGAGAAAGAGATAAGGAACGTCATAGGTAAGATTTATATGTCAACTGTCAATCATAATAATATAAAACTACTGCGGAGCTTAGCAGCCTGCAGATTTCAAATGTCACACACACTTTCAAATGTCCCACAACCCCAGACATTGATCGTATTAAATTTAATTTTTCTTACACTTACGTTTTTAATGGGATATTATTGATTTTGAACAAAATTTTGTTCTTTTATTAATACATGACCTTCAACGGTTTTTCTTGCGTTTATGCTTTACTGTTTTCTCATTATAATTAAACCTATGAATTAAACATCGATAAAGCAACAACTTTTAAATAAAACTAATTTTACGGATTTTATCGCGTATATTAACTTATTTTATATTCCCGACGTTTCAAGTACTTTACAGCACTCATGGTCACGGGGGGGACTGAGGTGTATGACGTCCCAATGTCATAGTTAACAACGGCTACCTCCAGATTAAAAATTATTAATTTTTAATTTTTGTTCCGATCTACGCAGTATGAACTTACAGTATCATGAAGTCTTGCAGTTGTATGCTTGGGTTGGGATTTAATTTTATTAATTATGGGATCCCAAGCAGATGGTAGCACCCAGCCATCTTCTCTATTGAAATTAGGATGTTTCTTGATTTCAATAGCCTCGCGAATCATCCTTGGAAGGAATCGGTGTTCTTTAGCGAGGATTTGTGGTCTATCAAATCTAATGTAGTGACGGGGGCGATCCTGTACATGTTCACAGACTGCAGACTTCCCGGAGCGTCTATTCTTCACATCAGCTATGTGTTCTTTAACGCGGGTTTTGATAGATCTTTTAGTTTGTCCTATATAAGAGAGACCACATTCACAATCAAGCTTGTACACTCCTGCATCTTGCAGGGGAATATTACACTTGACTGATGGTAAAAACTGACTAATCTTCTTCGGCGGCTTGAAATATGTTTTAATGGAAGCACGCTTCAAGATGTAGCCAATCTTGTCAGTGACACCTCTGACATATGGCAGTACAGCAGGCACTCGCTCGACTGTGGCCGGCTTCACTCGTTCACTGTGACGTAGGCGCGGGACCCGAAGCTTATTGTCGTGCAAAACTTGCTTGACGTGTTGGAGCTCGGCGGCCAGATGTTTACTGTCACAGATCCCTCGTGCTCTCTGAAGTGAAGAATCCTCGTGCCTCTGCTCTTTGTTTCAGAGAGCACGAGGGATCTGTGACAGTAAACATCTGGCCGCCGAGCTCCAACACGTCAAGCAAGTTTTGCACGACAATAAGCTTCGGGTCCCGCGCCTACGTCACAGTGAACGAGTGAAGCCGGCCACAGTCGAGCGAGTGCCTGCTGTACTGCCATATGTCAGAGGTGTCACTGACAAGATTGGCTACATCTTGAAGCGTGCTTCCATTAAAACATATTTCAAGCCGCCGAAGAAGATTAGTCAGTTTTTACCATCAGTCAAGTGTAATATTCCCCTGCAAGATGCAGGAGTGTACAAGCTTGATTGTGAATGTGGTCTCTCTTATATAGGACAAACTAAAAGATCTATCAAAACCCGCGTTAAAGAACACATAGCTGATGTGAAGAATAGACGCTCCGGGAAGTCTGCAGTCTGTGAACATGTACAGGATCGCCCCCGTCACTACATTAGATTTGATAGACCACAAATCCTCGCTAAAGAACACCGATTCCTTCCAAGGATGATTCGCGAGGCTATTGAAATCAAGAAACATCCTAATTTCAATAGAGAAGATGGCTGGGTGCTACCATCTGCTTGGGATCCCATAATTAATAAAATTAAATCCCAACCCAAGCATACAACTGCAAGACTTCATGATACTGTAAGTTCATACTGCGTAGATCGGAACAAAAATTAAAAATTAATAATTTTTAATCTGGAGGTAGCCGTTGTTAACTATGACATTGGGACGTCATACACCCCAGTCCCCCCCGTGACCATGAGTGCTGTAAAGTACTTGAAACGTCGGGAATATAAAATAAGTTAATATACGCGATAAAATCCGTAAAATTAGTTTTATTTAAATGTGTAGTGTTCGCGTAAATATAAGAAATCATTAAGCAACAACTTTTTTGACACTGAATTACTTAAAGATTTCAGAATTTTGCTTTCATATACGCCTCATCCTCTATGTATCTCAATCCTATCTTGATGCTTAATTTCAAGTTACTAAATCACATAGAAGTGGTCTGGGTTCTTGATGAATAAGTAAGTGATTCAGTGCATGATAAAAGTAAACATCTCAGACTTTATTAACTCAAAAACCATACTACACTTATCCTAAAATGATTTTTTTTTCACGTGGTAGAGCCATGCCGCAGCTATATTGTGGTTGCAGCACTAATGGGTCGGCTCGTCCGGGGTAAGGACCACGCTCTCACAGAATACCAGCGTAAGCTTAATGCTGCTGTGTTTCGTGTGGTAGAGAACCCAAGACCCTTTTTTACTGGAAACAAGGCATTCCGTCTTAGTCTTCAGATATATGTAGATGTGTATGGGCCACAGCATCCACTTACCATCATGTAGACTGTGTGCTCGCTTGTCACCCTTATTCTATAAAAAAAATTGACACAAGGGTCTCACATGCGAAATTACAAGTAGTGAGGTAGTAGGGAGTAAAAAAGCTTAAAATTTTTCGTATAAAATATAAATATAACTGACCTGCGGTAATCCGACAAACGTTTTGCAAGGTGGTGTCGGATTACCAAATTTGTCGGACTATGAAGTACTGCCACAGCACCCTAGTAGTTTGGAACTTTTTGAAAAAAAGTACTTTGTACAAATTATATCAAATATTAGACAATAAAACAACAATCATGTGATCCACAACGAATAGGTACTTAAATAGTAAATAATGAACACCTGCTAGGTCACTACCATAGTCACATTCAAACTTAGACAATTCGCGTCACGTACATGTTACAGGCATGTCGGATTATAGGGGGTGCCGGATTAGATAGGGGCCGGATAACCGGGCGTCCACTGTACATTACTGTAGCGTAACCTGTTGCATGGCTGATATACTACCACATGTCCAGATATGCATTAAGAATGACAATGTCTGCCGGTTGGATTTAGGTCAAATTACTATTTCTTCTTAAGATCTGCAGTTGTTACCGCTACAGATTTTTGTCATGCCCTAAATATAAATGTGCGGGTACAATAAAAAACAGCTAATACAATTAGTACAACCACACTGCAGCTGTATTATGGCTACTGCACGAATGGTCTGCTCAACCGGGGAAGGACCAGAAGAATTTCACAAAATAACAGCATAATTCTGCTGTTTCATATGATGAGCATAGAAAACGGACGAACCTTTCCACTGCTAGCAAAGCATCTATCTTTTTTATAGGATAAGGGTGACAGACAAGCACACATTCCACCTGGTGGTAAGTGGTTGCTGTGGCCCATAGACATCTACACATCTATCTTCGGCTACAAATCAAAATGCAGCTGCATTGTTACCCATAAGGACTAAGATGGAATACCTCGTTTCCAGTAAAATGGGTATCTGGTTCTCTACAACTCACCATATGAAACACAGCAGCGTTAAACTGCTATTTTACGCTGGTATTCTGTGAGAGCGTGGTCCCTGGTCGAGCCGACCCATTCGTGCTACAACTATACAGCTGCAGCAAGGCTCTACACATATAAATATCTTATGTATAACTAAAATTTTTGCCAAGTGTAATAAGTTTAATATTACTCATGTAGGTCAAGTCGCGAAGAGAAGAGCAGCAGGCATGAAGAACGAGACCGGGACAGAGAACGAGAGAAGGAGCGCGAGCGCGATAGGGACAAAGATCGCGATCGTGATCGTGAACGTGAACGCGAACGCAAGCATCGCAAAGAGAGACGTGAGTTCTCCGCCTGTATAGCATTCGGCCTCGAAAAATTTTAGTTGATCAATCTAGCGAAATACAACATGTATGCAAGCAAGCTAAGTTAAATCCATGATATTGATTCAAATTGTTAAACGCAATATTAAGTGGTAATTTACTACAATCTTAATGTGGAGAGAAAATAGGAAACCTGCAAGACCTAAATACAAAAAAATATTCCAGGACATGCAAATACTGTCGACATGTATCGGGGCAACATGGAATCTCTCTATCCTACTCCAATTACTATTCAATTTAAACTCAGTTTAATAAAAATAAACTTTTTAAAAAAGACGACTTCAAGGAACTAAAATCTATACAAATAAATAAAATTGAAGTGTCTGTTTGTAATGTTAAAATAACAGCTTTTTACTAAATGTATATGAAAGTATATATGGTACTAATAACAAAAAAATAATTTTAATATTTTTGTCTGTCTGTCTGTTTGTTTGTCTGACCGATTTTGATGGGACTCACTGGCAGATAGCAGATGTTATAAGGAGTAACATAGGATACTTTTATGTTAGAAAAAGAATTAGGGTTCTGCATGCAATACAAAAAATTAAAACCCATGAAATTAGTGCTCAGACATAGTGTATAGACGAATAAAACCTCTTCAGAATGTATAATTATTTAATCTTGTTAATTCTTTACAGTCAGCTATTACTTTTATTTAATTAATTTTTTTACCCTTTTGAGTGAACTAAGGAATATCACAATCTTAATGTTGTCTGTGCCAAATGCATTAACATTTGTATCAAAAACAAGTGCGGTAAAATGTACGCACAGATAGTGGCATACCTTTCCTACTCCATTTCCTACTCCATTTACTATTCAATTTCAAGTCAACTTTACATAATTACTTTTGGATTGCTTTTACCTTTATAAAAGTTATTTTCTTACCATTTTGAGTGGAGTAAGGAATACCACAATATCTATGTCGTCAGCGCTGGGCCGTGTTAAATATTGTCAAACATTTGTATCAAAAATGAGTGCATAATAATGTACATACCCTACCTTTGGGAGAAGGGTTTTTGTGAAAAATCTGCTAAATATTTCTTTTCAATGTTAACTTATTTGAACTTTTGAATAAGTAAACCAAGCTTGTAAAACATTTTCATAATCATAAACACGTACGCCTTTCACTCAGAGGAGTCTGCAGAAAATACTAACTTTCATAACTTTAGCACGACTCTGACACACATCTCTTGCCTCCTTTACATACATATGCCTACACATACATGCTCGTTGGTTAAGGGTACTTTTAATCTGGCCCATCTTCAATATATCGCCAATTTGGTTAATAAACTTTCGTCTAGGACGTCCCTTGCCGACTCTACCGTTCACTTCTACAACATAAATTCGTATTATCACGCTTTCTTAGTTCATTCTTTCTACATGACCAAACCACTGAAGCATTCCTTTTTTAATCACAAAATCTCGCAAACCACACTTTTCTCTTATCACACAATTTCTTAGCCCTAATATACTTCTTAATGACTGCCTTTCTACAGCATTTATTCTACTCTCGTGCTTCTTCTGCCACACTCAACTTTCACTGCGATACATTAAGGTAGGGACTAACACAGCATTTTGAATTGCCATACATGCCGTTTTTTATATACTCTGACTGACAGAGTGAAAAGCCCTTCGTTCACTCGTATCTCGTATATCCTTATCATACCTACCATCCCCGCTAAACGTATCCCAAATACACAAACTCATCCACTTACTTAACCAACTCCCCTTCCTTTCTTATTTCACATATTATTTATGTTCTTCTCTTTCAAAACTTTCACTCCCCTTTTTATTTATAACCGAGCAAGATATAATATTTTCTAAAATATTTTTATATTTCTGATGTATATTTTTTACACTCAAACTTGCGTTAAAATTAGTGTTGAAATATGGATGTTTTCAAGCCTCTACCTATCAAATGAATATTTTTTTACTATTCTAGTTATGTAAGCCTAAGCTTATACATAACTAGAATAGTAAAAAAATACCTAGGTAAAGATGAGACAAATCAGTTTCATGCAAATTTTTTGACCTTTTATCAAACTGTGGTGTAATTCCCCTCCTGCATTAGTACGGAAAAAATTTATTAAATACATAAGTTGTAAATCGTTATTTTCCAACTAGGTTCTTCACACGAGCGTTCGCGTCGTCGCTCCCGCGATCGTGAACGCGACCGCCATTGACAACTGACTGAGGTATCCCAAAAGCGCCTGAAACCGGTAAGTATAATTACACTCAATACAAAGTTTTATTCATACAATACATCATATAAAGTGGCCATAAAACAAAGCTTTCATAAATTTATCGTCTACAGCATGATGCTCCCCATTCCTCTTATAAGTTTATCCAAAAGTACCAATGGCATACTTTTCTTAACAAACATTTTTACACAATTCAATTCCTTCTTTCCCCTCCAAAACAATATTAATACAAATTGACAAGTAATAAAGTTAACACTGTTATTTTACAGCTGATAGTAACATACCAAAATAAAACTTCAGTATATGGCAATCATATGGGGTGCCCCCCATTACATTGATTCGATAGTTGTCGTCACACCGACGGACTTGGCAGGTATTTTAATTGGTATTTTAAACAGCAGTCAGGGAGCTGAGCGTTGGAAAATGGTTATTGGTAAATCCTTTGCACCCTCGCATTTGATGTATCATTAAATGTGACGGTGTTAATGGGCTGCCAATACCACTCAGATGAGCAGTTGGCCTCGGCGTCGTTTTGAGGTATTTTACATATTCTGAATGTTTTGCCTTCGTCAAATTTCGAGTTGCCAGTCGACCTTCTGGACTAAGCGATGCCAGGTATTTGTTAGGATTTGTATAGGGGAATAGGGTAGAATATGATGTCAAAAGATATATATATCTGTATTTCATTTACTTGATTTGTAACATGATACAGTTCTATGTTCGAGTATGGATTAACTTGGTTTGGCTGCTTAGTGTCTGTACATTGCCATTATTTAAATGCCATGATACGGGACATGATGGGAGCGCAACTCATATGCTCATGTCATGATATTGGATGCTGTTTTCACATCATCTACTGTGTTTTTCCAGGTACCCAATTATTGCAAATATGTAGCAACAAGTTTTCATAAACATTTTTTTTTATTTCTAATAAAAGTTTATTATTGTTGTGTCATATATTTTTTAAACTTGATGCTATATTAAAAAAATATAACTAATACCTTTAATCCTATTGAAACACATGACTGACAATGATTTTTTAACAACATTGTTAAAAACTTATTTTTTTTCTAATTAATTTTGTCTCCTTAGAACAATTAAAAATATTTTTTCTAATAAGTTATAACTTGTTACTAAGTCATTGTCGCATGTGAGATCAAATGTAACACTTGCACATGCTAGTTTCTAGTTTCTCGATGGACTTTTCAGTTGGCAAACCATAGAAGAGTCTAGAAGAATCTACGCGATTGCGACATCAGTCATCAATGAGGTACTTTTGAAATTAAGGCACACCTGAAATTGAAGAATGAAGGGCAGCAAGCAAGCTTCCAGAAAATTCTATGTTCTGCAACGGTTTCGAGGTGACATAGCATAGTCGCGCGTATTCATAAGAAAATTTAGTCCCTAGGATTCCAAACTTAATTGGTTAAAAACGCATGTACGTTTATCGCTAGATATGAACTTGTTATTATTTCGACTTAGCAATATTATATATGTAAATTGTAGCTACCTCTACTGTTTTATCCCTTGGACGGTCATTTATTTCTGTATACCAGATTCCACTGAGGAGTGATTCAGGTATTTATCATTTTTATTATATTATTAAAAATGTTAATTAAAAATAATTTTTCATGTATGTCTTGAAAGTGTGAGCCATCCAATAAGGGTTACTAAATTAAATATTAAAAATATAGTATTTTGTTTTTTTTTTTTATCACGTACCCAATGTTTTATCAGTTTTAAGCGCCTTATTCACGGTCCATCTTGCAGTACGTCCCGCCAAGGTCATCCACGAAGCACGATGCAAAACGACAATGAGTAGGCTTGACGTACGTAATTTTCACGTCAATAATAACTAGGCTGGAAAAAATTGCTAATTGACGGAGTAGTTATCGCAATACAATGAAATATAGTACTCATAATGCCGTTCCTTGTTATCTGTCTGGGTAATTTACATATTATAGCATGTACTTTAGCAGTTACATCGCCCAATCTATCAACAACCGAAATAAATTCGAGAAATTTTCCTAAAGCGACTCTAACCTTTCGAAACCTTACCTAAAATAAGGGGAAATATCCTTAAATTTTCTCCAAACCCATCCTCATCTGGACGCAATGCATCCTGGTGATTGGCGTACGAGGTTCTGGCGACCAACTGAATGCAAAAAACCTTTTCTAAAAACGCTCAACCCGTATTTCATAGGCTGATGATGGAAAGCGGCATTATGACCAGTGTGGGGGTATCAGCTCCCTCACTCTGTTCTCACTCATCCACCTGTCCAGCATGGTGTGTATAACCTAATATTCCAAGTGTCTCATGACAGCATGCTCTTAGCAAGGTCTGTCCCAAGTGTTTTACGACACCCACGGGACTAAATCAGAAATCACCCAGATTATTTTCTGCCAACACACTGGGAAAAAGTATCAGACATCCATAACTCATAGATACCTACCTACCGCGACAAGCACCTACAGTGCGTAACAACTTGAAATAGTAAAACAATCAGGGCTGCGGCCGCAGTTTAGCTGGCCTGAACATTTTTAGTCAGTATAATTATTTGTTCGATTAAGAACTTAGTTGTACTTAAATTTTAATATTAGGTACTTTAGGGACTTTATAACAAACACTGGAGTTAAACAGTTGTAGACGATTTAAATTTTTAATAATTTGACTGTGGCATAGGTAAGTTGCGAGCAAAACTCAACACAAAGGAATAATAATTACACAAGCCACTAGTATGGGCTAATGATAAAGTCCTGTATAAATACCGATGCTGATGGACGGTAACTTGATAATCGTATTAATACAATTTAAAGAGCTAATTGTGCAACTCCTTGTCAGGCGATGCCGCCGCCGCGTAGGTATTTACGCAGTCTTCGCAAATATATATGCTAGGGGTTGTCACAAAATTAGGAATAAAATAATTTTGAATATTATGATACTTATTAAGTGGCGAAGCTTGCGAAGTCACTTATTGATTTCACGATGTCTGTCCGTCTGTCCCACTATTATCTCGAGAACTGTTTCGAATTTTCAAATTCTGTTTTCATCAATCGATTACTGATCACCCAGGCATCTGAACCTCCTATTTTGAAACTGATTGCTCAACGGCAACCGTTAGAAACCGCTACAAAGCTGATTGCTTCGCCACTTTGCTATGCTGTTAGCTTGCTAGGTTTATTATCATTAATTAACATTATGTATATAAATAGGAGTTAAAACATTTATTGAACACGATCATTTTTTATTACTACAAGAAATAATATACATTTAATATTAAATATTTTATGACACTTTATAGATGTTTTCAGTTTTCGATTGTGAAATTTATATGCAGTGTAATTCGGATAAATTATTTTATAAAAAAAAAATATGAGTATGAGTATGGAAACATAAGCATGGCCGTTATTTTAATTCACCTTAGTAACTGATATAACTGTAACAGTAATTCACCATTATAGATAGATATATTTTTCGAAAAAGGCACTTGAAAATAGTTCAATAAGTACTATAAAACGCGCTCGAGTCGACCGCTTGTAATGTTCAGGAGACTAGTAGAGTGCGCTGCGTGTACATTCACCTGTGTATCAAAAGCCGACTGATTATATTATGTAAAAATAACTGTATAACTGCATAGCATCAATTAGGTTGATGACCCCCTGGCTGATTGCGCACGAGAAATTTTATGTGATCTCCATTAGATCACATAAAATTTCTCGTCCTTACTTTTCTGTATCATATTTTAATGCTTGCGCGATAGGGTCGGAGGTAGGCTTGGTATCAGAGGTTCGGATTAGGAACCAAAATTTGTAAATCTTCGGAGGGATTCTAATCCAAGACCCATGACTCTGACGTCAGGTATCCTTACCGCTAATCTAGCTAACCTGACAACCAAACCTCCATATTTACTCATGTACAATTCTTTAGAAGATTAAACGTCAGTTTCAAATTGAAAATCCTCCGATTGATAAAATATTAAGAACAGCTGTAGCTTTATTTTATACATGTACTATGACTGTAAACAAATCCCATCTCCTACTTCCACCAATGCCGCCCCGCCGTGATGGTTCCTTCCACTTGGATCCACTAGCTAGTAGATCCATAGTTAATTTTTACTTAAATCTTGTAAGTACGTGCAAATTCGATCCACACCCTTTGTACCTATAAGGGTGACGAACGAGCACACTGTCCACCTTATGGTAAGTGATCCTCGATTAAGAATCAAAATGCAGATGCGTTGCTAACCCTAAGGACTAAGATGGAATGCCTCTTTTTCCATTAAAAAGGGTCTCTGGTTCTCTGCACTTACCATACGAAACAGCAGCGTTATGCCGCTATTTTACGCTGGTATCATTCCCGGTCGAGCCGACCCATTCGTGCTACAACTATACTACTAATATAACTGCAGCATGGCTCTACCACGCAGAAGAAGGTATTACAGGTTATATCTCTTTTCACCTTTGGCAAGACGTCTTTAACAAGAACATAGAAGACCTTGTTCGAAGCTGTTTCAGACATGTTTTCAAACATTCTCGCTATTGGAACAGGGACAGTTATTTGGGTTTAGACAACAGTTCCAATCTGTTATTTTTGAAAACCTGTTATCTGCCCTGTTTCGATAAATACGCTTCACTCCTAGCAAGTATAGTAAAATTTAGCTTGCTACATGTTTATTTATGTTCTTTGGTAAAAATCACTATCTGTGGGGAGTTTTAGCGGGAACTTGACCGACGTCGAATTGTTGCTCTGTATTATTGTTTAAATAATGGTTTGAAGTGGATTTAGATATGTAAAAGTGGTGCAATTTTGTGAATTTTAAGTGGAAACTGAAACAACAGCTCTAATGGTGATGTGAAATCATTGCTTAGGTGCTTTGAGATTTAGTATCTCAAGGCGCCAACTGTCTTTTTTTTTTATAGGATCGAGTGACAAACGAGCACACAGTCTACCTGATGGTAAGTGGTTGCTGTGGCCCATAGAC